TCTCTTGGTAAGGGTATTTCCTACTCTGCAGTCAGAAACTTCAGGAAGACTTTTTGTAGTTGGATACCTCTGACTGTTTCTCATTTAAAAAATCTCAAATTGATGTCATCTCTGGAGAGGAAGCAGATAGAAATACATCGTATTCCTGCTCCTAGGAAGGAAATAGATCCATGGTGTTCTCTTTAGATGCATCCTGTGCCATTTCACATCCAATGTATTTTCTATTTCTATTTAAACATGTCAGTGGCAAAGACATTCCTCGTCTTGATGTAATGTTAAACTCCATCGCAGATTTCAGCTCTTTTGGCCCAGATAATTCCATATCATAGAAGAACACTAGTTTCTCCCCTCCTTCAATCATGTGATTTTTTTTGGGGGGGGGGAAATGCAAGTGAAACATAGTTTATGTAAGAAGAAAAAGCGGAGGTTCTGACCCATTCTGGAGAACCAGTAGCGGAAATTTTGAGTAGTTTGGAGTACCAGTAAATACCCCCTCTGACTGGCTCCCCCTCACCTATTCTCTGCCTCCTGAGTCCCAGATGATCAGGAGGGAATGGGGAGTTTGCAGTAACCTTTCCCTGCCATGTCCACCAGGCCATGCCCCTCCAAGCCACACCCCAGAACCGTTAGTAGAAAAATTTGAATCTCACCACTGAATTAGTACCCTTCCAATAAATAGGTTTTCTCCTAATACATCTTCGGATGCTTCCTCTGATTTTTCATTAGGTCAGAGCTGATCCTTGTTGATATTTGAGTATCTATGGATAATTATAAAGAAAAAGAATGTTTGGTATTCTTAAATTTTTATGGTTCATTAATGTGAGAATTATCATTTACACCATTGTAAGCAATCAAACATGCTATGTCTTAGAGTCTGAAAAGTTTCAGAAGGCAATAATGATGACTTCCGACTGATTGGACGTTTCCTTTAACCTTGCTGTATTGTTTATTTCTCTTTGCCCTTGAAGGTGATAATGAGAAGGACCATGAAGAGTCCAGAGAATCATTCCAAAGGTTCAGGCATAGAGACGTAATTGAGAAGCCTTCAATTCAAACAGAATTCCAGAGGCAGGAGACAAACGCCTCAAGTAATTGGAATAAGGAAAGCTCATTTTCCATTGAAGTTCACATGCAGGAACTTATTGAGGAAGGGGGCAAAATACAGAAGAAATGTATGGAGAAAGGTGTAAAACTATCCAAAGACACATTAGAGGTAAATGAACATTATCCAGCCACATCCAAAGAACGGGATTATATACTCAAAGACAATGGAAAAAATTACAATTGGTGTTTCCCATTTTCTCAGGAAAATGAGTCTCTTATATCACAAAAAAGTTTTCCCGTCTGGGAGAATCTGGAGAACGGCTTGGAGAATGGAAATAGCTTCTGTGAAATAAAGTCTTTGACTGCTCAAGAAAGCAACCACAAGGCGAAACCACATAAATGCATGGAATGTGGAAAGAGCTTCAAGGTAAACTATTCTCTTACTCTTCATCGAAGGACCCACACAGGGGAGAAGCCATTTGAATGCTTTGAGTGTGGAAAGTCTTTTAGTCAGAGAAATCACCTGAAATCCCATCAAAGCATCCACACAGGTGAGAAGAAATACAAATGCATGGAGTGTGGAAAGAGCTTCACACAGTCCAGTGGCCTCATTAGTCATAAAAGGATCCACACAGGGGAGAAATCATTTAAGTGCATGGAGTGTGGAAAGGGCTTCACTACAAGCAGTGCCCTTATTCTCCACAAAAGGATCCACACAGGGGAGAAACCATACAAATGCATGGTGTGTGGAAAGAGCTTCAGCCAATCCAGTGGCCTCGTTATTCATAAAAGTATCCACACAGGGGCAAAGCCATATAAATGCATGGAGTGTGGAAAGAGCTTCAGGGTAAATCATTCTCTTACTCTCCATCAAATGACCCACACAGGAAAGAAGCCTTTCACATGCATTGTGTGTGGAAAGTCTTTTAGTCAGAGGAATCACCTTACTCTCCATCAAAACATCCACACAGGTGAAAAGCCATACAAATGCATGGAGTGTGGAAAGAGCTTCACCCAGCCCAGTGGCCTCATTAGTCATAAAAGGATCCACACAGAGGAGAAGCCATTTAAATGCATGGAATGTGGAAAGGACTTCAGTACAAGTAGTGCCCTTACTGTCCATAAGAGAATCCACACAGGGGAAAGGCCATTTAAATGCATTGTGTGTGGAAATTCTTTTAGCCAGAGCCATCATCTTACTCACCATCTGAGAATCCACATGGGAGAAATGATTTAAATGCATGGAGTGTTGAAAGAGCTTCAGAATAAGTAATAATCTTCACCATCAAAGGATCCACACAGGGGAGAAGCCATTCAAATGCATGGCGTGTGGAAAAAGCTTCAGCCACCCTAGTGGCTTCATTTTCCATAAACAGAACCACACGGGAGAAACCATTTAAATGCAGAAGGAGCTTCCAAATACACAGTCATCTTACTGACCATAAAAGGATCCATACAGGGGAGAAGCCATTTAAATGCATGGAGTGTGGAAAGTATTTTAGACAGAGCCATCATCTTACTTCCCATCAAAGGATCCACATAGGAGAAAAGACATTTAAATGCATGGAGTGTGGAAAGGGCTTCAATACAAGCAGTGCCCTTACTTTCCATAAGAGGATCAAACACAGGGGAAAGGCCATTGAAATGCATGGAATGTGGAAAGAGCTTCAGAGCAAGCAGTGATCTTACATTCCATCAACGGATCCACATAGGAGATAAACCATCTAAATGCACGGAGTGTGGAAAGGACTTCACTACAAGCAGTGCCCTTTTGATAAGAAGATCCACACAGGGGAAAAACAGGAGGAGGAGAAATGACCTAATTTCCCATACAGCGATACACTTGGGTGGGAACAATATGTAAATTCTATAAAGTTACATTTATGAATTTTCCTATTTACAGTGATTGAGCTTGCAAAGGAATTGTCTGTCCATGGGATATGAATTTACTAACAAAAATAAAAAAACAATGGATGGGTGTCATTTTAATTATGATCTGGATTATTGAAGGTGTTTACATTTAAGTATGATTTCTTTTCAAAAGTAAGATTCCTATTCTCCACTTGTTTCTTCTTCCCGTGTGATCACACTCAAAAGGATTTGAATTTCCTTTTTTTTCCTCCTCTTACCCTTTCTGATTCATTAATAGATACCCAATTTATTAGAGTACTTTCCTCCATCCTCAGGAAAGTTGGAACAGTTCAGCCGAGAGATTGTAGGCCAGTGATGGCGAACCTTTTAGGCAAAACTATACACGTCTGCATGCCTTAACTGAAAGGTGTGTATATTTGCATGGAAACATGCCTTTGCGTGGACATGCACAAATGTGCATAGGCACGCATGTGTATCAGAGATCTGAAACTAGCTGGCTGGCGGGAGGTGGGGCATCCCAACGTCAGCTGCATGGCAAGAGGTAAGAAATGTGCCAATCACAAATCCGTGGGACCAAACTAAATAAGTTTGAGTTTAAAAAAATATTTCCGAAAACTACTTTTGATCTTCCTGACCACAAATGAGACGGGGAGCCATCTCTGTGATGTGAAGAATTCCAAAAGACTCAAAAGCTGCATTCCCAGCGTAGAACTGTGACCTGAGCCAGGTACTATGTATAGAGAAGCATGGAGCCTTATTTAGTGAAAGGCCTCATAATCTGAGGCAAATGTCACATGCACATCAATGCGTGAGAAAAGCTGAAAGGATGATGGATTCCTGTTTCTCTTAAGGGCCTAGAATGATGATATGCCTCCACTCCCAAATGCATGTGCAAAATCTGTTTTCAAGCATTACAATGATACAGTTTCTTTTTCTTGCTGCGCCATTCTTCCAATTTTGTAGGCACTGCCACTATAGGATTTAAGGCTATTTTAATAAACTTCAAACACATTCATTTATTATCTTTCAAGTCAAAATGTTGTTTTTCCTCCAATAGCTAGTGATAGAACTCCCAAGAAGCACCTGTATAAACAACTTGTGGTCTTCCTACTATCACTCTCAGTAAACAAACAAAGAGTCTTGAGACTCAAGTTATCAAAGAGAAAGAAGAAAAAACAATGTATCCAGCCTCTTAAGTGGCAGTGTATCTGCTTTTCCTCCTGTTGTTACAACCCTCTTTATAATCCTTATTATCTTCTTTATATTCCAAGTTTAAGAAAGAAAAAAAACCCTTAAATGAAGATCAAAAGCAATCCAATCAATCCAATCAAGTATTATAAAAAAAGAAGCAAAATTTTAATCCATAGGTGTAAGCAAAAGTGAAGAAGATATTAATCCATTCAGTTTAAAAAACAGCCTTTGCAAAAATTCCACCCATGAAAAAAAAAATCGAAACAGGATAACACACTAAGTTTAATGTAGATTAATTTCACTGCTCACAGCCTTCTGTCTTCAATTTTAATGTAACTTAATTTTTTTTGGGGGGGGGGTAGTCTCTTTTTCTAATAATAAAATTTCCTCACCAATTCGACACACTTTCTCTTTTTGCTTCCCGTACCAGAGCTGTCACAACTTCAGTAGCTTCAATAGCTGTGTTTCTGTCGCTGGAAATAAAGACTATTCTTGGCTCTTTCAGGGACTTGGCGGTGTCCCTGAGATCAGCAGGAGGTGCCCTTCTCAATCACTGTCTCTGCGGGACAGTTTAGGTCCGAATGGAACGTCCAGCGGTAGAAATATCGACTTGATCTCAGAGCACCAAGATCGCACATCGTGCCATCGCAACGTGAGCCTCTCTATGTTTTCAAGCATTAGGGCAGTGGTGGGTTCTGGATCCCATTCCAACAGGTACGGTTGGAACAGGCCCGGCAGCGTTCTCATGGACTCGCGCATGTGTCCTCCAGCACGCACGTGTGGCTTACCACTTCCATGAGCCTCTGCAACACTCCAGCTGCTCAGCAGAGCGTCGCACAGGCACTGTATGTGCCGTGCGTGTGCTCAGAAGTACCAAAGACTTAAAAGACTGGTAAGGAGCTCGGGCAGGCGTGTGGGCCCTCCGGAGCACTGTACCGGAACAGTATCTGGTGCTCCAGGCAGGCTATCTTGTGCCCGTACTGGGGCATACCTCTTGCAACCCACCACTGCACTACGGCCATACTTTGCTCTTCTAAAGTCTGATGGAGATTAAGAAGTTGTCTAAATCTGATTTAAATAAAATTAAATATCAATGATATTGTTACTTTCTAGTCATGTATTATGCTCTTTTACTCTTTGTATTAAAAATATAGTAACATTCCAATATTTGGAAGTATTTGGGTGGGGGAATAGTCTGGATTTTAGAGGATCGTGTTGCTTGAATTTGCTTTTTCAGTGCTGATATTTGATGCCTCCTTGAATCTCTAGAGAGCCTTCAGAGTGGCTCTTTTGGAGGAAAGTGAGTTTTGATCCTCCATAGAAATTCACACAAAGATCACAAATGATTCCTACACAGTAAGGGGAATAAAAATGTGGGGTAGGCAGCATCACCACTCAGTGGTGTTGTAACTGGCTGATAAACCGTACTCAATGATTAGTCCTTAATGATACTACGTCTACATGGAGGGAACTAAGCAGTTTTCTTAAGTAGACTGTTTCTGGAATAGTTTGTTGATTTTTATTTTCGCTTGTTCTTATTTTACAATGCCTTGAGATAAAGACATGTGTTAAGGGCCATGGAGCAGTTATTGTTTATGTATAGGTTTCCTCAAAAACAAATTCATCAATTATCTTTTTAATCCTTGTAATTTAAAAAAAAAATCTGCTTGCACACCCAGTGAAGAAGAAAAAGCTCCATTATTAATGAAGTTTAATCACACAAGAATACATGGATGGCAGCATCTATATTGTATCTATGTGTACATCTAAATCTATATTGTAGACGTACATTATATCTACATCTATAGGGAGGACAGAAAACAGTGGGTTGCCTCAGGGTTCTCCCTGAGGCGCAGTTCTCTCCAAAATCTTTATTAGCAATGTAGATGGGGGAAATAGAAGGAAACTCATCAAATTTGGGGACTGTAGGTTTCAGAAATCCATCACAGCAGTGGTGTCCAAAATGTCTGTCTGCCTTATGCAGAGTTTATTTGGCTTTTATACAGTTTTAACAAGCAAAGCAAATCAGGGGTAGCAACAGGACCTTATTGGTACATTTTGCTTGTCAATATCTAAGTCCATCCCAGCCAGAGTAGAGGCTTCACATATCTCCTGGTACTACCTGATTCTAATAAACAGTTGAGGTCATTGGTCACTGAGATCATGGCCGTTTAATGCGCATGTCTGTAGGTAACCTTGCCTCTCTTCCCACATCTGGTTCTGCTAATTAGGTGAGCTCATAGGTATTCAAGGTAACCAGCTACTGAGATCATGGCATTTTACTGCACATGTTTTTACGTAACGTTTCCTCTATTCCTACATCTCACTCTTTTTTGTTTTGTTAGACAAGGCATCGTAAGAGGGGCTAGTAAAAGGATCATAATCGAAAAAGGAACATACTTGCAATTGTTTATACATGGCATATATACTTGACCCTGAAGCAATGCAGGAGAGAGTTTAGGACAAAAGCTGTGATACACATATTTTGCAAAGGGAGGGAAGACATTGAATAAAACAGCATCCACCAATCAAAATAGCACAAATGATAACTAAATAACATATAACATTTCCCAATAAACCTGTGGCCAACCAAGCACAAAAGCTTTTCCACAAAATCTTAAAATATCAATTTTCAAATCAGAGGCCAAATTGTGTAAAATATTTAATTGGTGCTGGATGGTAATTTATCTAAAAGATTGAAACAACACATCAATTACTAAAATAGCTTTAAAAAGTAACATTAATTACTTTTACCAAATTACCCACAACAACATTAATATTGAAATTAGCGCAAGCAACAAGCGCTGGCACACCCACTATGAATATAGCCAATGCTACATATTCTACTTTATTAAGCAAAACTATCTCAGAGTCACAAATGCTGTTTAGCGTGACTCCACGTCGAAAACTACTTGAGTTAAGTTGCTGTTTGGAAAGTAAAACAGGAATTAACTAGCTAAGACAACATTGTGTTTCCCTAATATTAGCAGGAATATAATTAAAAATTTCTTGACCATATGTAAAAACCATCCTTGCAAGAGCCAAACATAAGCAAAGTGAAAGGAAATCTCTTAAAAGCTGTGCAATTTAAAGCAGGTGAACTAATATGAAAACTGAGGTTTTCCACTTGACGATGTACCATTAACTACTTTTGTGCATGTTGTATTGTCAGGAACTGCTACTATCAGAGTATACAAAGCAATTGCATCAGGGGGCAGATCATAAGCAATCAACCCCCAAATAGATATAGTCTTATAGTTAAAGTTTTCATTCAATAGGAATCTACTCAAACCAGTGAAGTTTTGAATTACTGCAGACAGAATACAAACAGGAACCAAGCATGTGGAAAGCAAATTTTCCATTTCATATGATTCAGATAAGCAAGACATCAGTTTGTGTGATATTAGCTAGCTGCACCCATAGATTTTTGCTTCAGTCTCTCTTCAAATGAGTTTTTGGGTGAGATAACAGCAGCTATCACTAAAGGGAAGCAATTAACAATCAAACATAAACAAATGATGACTAAGGAATTGGCAGTTAAAACCGCAAAAATGGCAGCGCATAAGTTCTCGGGCATTTGTTCCACGTGTCGTTATTACAGTACTGCTTGCGCTTTGGTGGTCAGGGTTTTTCACATCACTGGATAGCTGGTCTGACAAAATCATATTGGCCCACTGTGCTGTCTGTAGAGTTACCTTGGTCATCTCTGGAACTGGATTTGGGGACTGGTACCACGACATCCTTAGCTGGACGAACACTATGTGGTAGAATCCACAAACACAGGTACAAGACAGCACAGCATATCCTCGTCCCCCTGGTTTTTAACCAACAGGTTAAAAACAAACTTTTTTAACCTGTTGTGTTACCGATGCCAAATTGAGGTACGCCAAATTTTTGGGTACCCAAGAATCTCTCCTTTTTTATTCATTTGTGAAGACAGTCCTTAAAGGACGAATTAGCACGTTCCACAATGGCTTGACCTGTGGAATTGTAAGGAAGCCCATGAATTAGAACAACGTTCCAAGTTGTACAAAATTTCAAGAAGGCCAATGAAAAATAGGCCGGGCCATTATCAGTTTTTAAAGAGAAAAATTGACCCAAAATAGTAATAGCTGAAAAAAGATGAAAAATAGCTGTTTCTTTTTCTTCATTAGCTGTTAAGATGTGGCCCACAGCACTCCTGAATAGGTAAAAATAGGTAAATGAATATACTTCCAGGGAGCCAGAAAGGGAACATGGGTGACATCCACCATAGTTGATTAGAGGCCAAACCACTGGAATTAACTTCTGTGTCCCCAAAGGGGGATGCCCCAGAACACTGGGGACAAGATGAAACAATCTGCTTGGCCTGGTCGAGTGGAATATGGCAAACTTATGTCAGCCTCCTGGCATTCTGATGTAAAAAAGAGTGATTAAAAATAGATCTGAAAAGAAAGTAGAAAAAACATGAACAGCTGCATCTGAGTTGCATACCTGCTGCTTTAAGAAAAAGGTCCTGGAAGAAACAAATAACTACGTATGTGAGAAACAAAATATAAATGCTTTCAGTCTTATAACGATTGCTGCAAAGTTTAAAAAAAACAAAGCCATAAGGTTAAAAATAAATCCTGGGTGTGATGTAAGCACCTAGAAAATTAAAAATAAGTTGACACACATAATGAAAGTCAAAAATTTAGTTAAAAAGCTGTTGGGAAAAGATTTAGAAAGCTAAAATAGCAATAGACAATTCTAAGTGTTGCAGGGACAGCTTCTATGAAAGGAAGACTTTGACTGCTCAGAAAAGAAACCACAATCTGCTCTCCATCCCGAGAAGTCACGAGCCTCTCGCCTGCTTTTGCCATTCCGCGTCCTTCGC